TTTTTTTTTTTTTTTTTTTTTTTTTTTAAACAGGACCACTATCATTCATCCCATTTTTCAGATGGGGAAAAGGTGGCACAGAGTGGCAGAGCTGGGATTACCAAATCAGGTTGATCTGGCTTCAGAGTCCATACCCTTAACTTACCGCAATTTATATTGACAGATTTCATTTTCTTTCTTTAGTGACTGTCTCCCTCAATAATCCTCAAGGTCTGGGGGAGCAAGGACTGTGTCTGAAAGGTTCAGAGCTTAGCTTCAAGCTTCAAAAGCTTACCTGGCACACGGTAAATACTGTTGTTGAAGAGATGAATAATTTTAAAAAATTCGACTGGGAGGTCATCAGGTGCATGACTGAATCTCCACACTCTGCCTGATCAGGGGAATCGGGGTGGGAGGATCACCAGGTGGAAGAGGAAGCGAGCGCAGTGACTAGGAGCACCGCAGTCGGAACACGGAATCGGAGTGCAGATCTTCAGTTTCCTCCACTGGAAGATGGTACAGACCGCACCGCCTGGTGCGAAGGGAGACACTGCCCCTTTCTCCATTTCAGAGCGGAGGCCAGGTTTCAACACGTAGCCTCCCATTGCTTCTTGCGAAAGAGCTCAGCAAGAGACGACCGCCTAGGGAAGGAGGCGTGAAGCGCTGTGGAGCTGCGTGACCCTCAGTTCCGCCAGGCGCGAAGTGGGGCGGTGCCACGGGGCAGGGGCGGAGTCCCGACCAGGCCTTGGCAGGCTCCGCCCCCCGGCAGGCGGAAGCGGGCCCGTCCACACCTCCTAGGCCTGGGCGTGTCCGAGCGGGCGCACGCGCGCGCACGGCATGCTGGGAGGGCGGCCGCGCGGCGGCCATTTTGTCTTATCGGCTCCTCTTTAGAGGAGGCTTTTCGGCCTGCGAGCAGGCCGAAGGGATTGGCGACTGTGTCGCCGGCGTTTTCTTTAGCGGGTGCCAGGGCTGGTGGGAGCAGCCGCCCGAGAAAAGCACCATGATTTCGGCCGCGCAGTTGTTGGATGAGTTAATGGGCCGGGACCGAAACCTCGCCCCGGACGAGAAGCGCAGCAACGTGCGGTGGGACCACGAGAGCGTAAGTCCCGCGGGCCTTGGGTCTGTGCCCGGGTGCCGTGGGGGAGGGGAGCGGCGCGGGCCGGGGCCGGTCCGGCCCGCGGCGCGATTTGGGGCGCGGGCCGCGCCAGGGACGAGTGAGTCTGTGGCGGGAGGGAGGAGCCCGCCCGGGTCTGGGGATGAAGGATGATTTGTTTTTGTTGTTGTTGTTTTAGTACCTAGGAAGTCGAAGAGGGCCCTTGGCAGAATTGAAGAGCACCTTAGTGAGGCAGGGAAACGCGGGAAAGGATTTTATTACATCTAGAGGCTCCGGAGTTTTCACCTCATTATAAGATAGGGAAAAGGGCACATTCTTCCGTTATTTGGGTTGAGCGTCGTATTTAGACTGAAATTTCTGGCCAGGATTAGTGGTAAAAACCGTGGTACTCTATTACTTTAGTGATAGTTCAATTTCGACGCTTATATGAGGAAATAAAATTTTAAGAGGTCATAACTTGGTAGGGCTTACCATGATGATAAACAGATACTGTTTGATAGCAGTACGTTTTAGTAAGCCCTTCATGTAGATGGTTGTCAAGATTTTTTCTTTCACGTAAAACTCGTTTGATACAAGTACACGTATCTTGATGAGCCCTGAGAAACAGAATTGTTGAATCATTATATTGTACACCTGAACCTAATAAAACACTGTTAATTATACTTGAATAAAAACTCATTTGGTCATTTTAACCTTATGAGTAAGGGTAAATATTATAATCCCATTTTCACAGGTGAGTCTTGAGAGGTTACCCAAGGTCTCTTGGCAAGTTAAGTGGCGAAACTGAACCTAATCTTTGTAGTTGTGTTCACTTTCCACGATTCTATGAAAGTGACTCTCTGCAGATAACCAGTCTATTTCAAGTGTTATGAACATGCGGTGTAACGTTTTATGTTGGGTCTTAACCTGAAGAGCAGGTGTAGATTTTAACTTTACTTAGCTCGCGGTTATAACCAAACAACGTGGTAATTTAAAGGCGGTTGCTAGTCAAAATATGAAGTGTAGTTGAACAATTAAGCTGTTTTAAAAAGTTGCTTACTCTTTTTTTTTTTTAATGTAGGCTTTAGTAAAATTTCTTTTTTGTGATGCAGGAAAACAAGTTGGTGCTAGATGAATCCTTTCAGGATCTTAAAAAAATAAGTGGCTAAAGATGTATTGAGGTGTTGCCTGACTCCAAAGTAGTAGGAAGTGTTGCAGTAGAATTTATTGTGTGGGGTCAAATTCATGCATCTGTCATTGAACTTAGCAGAGGTGAAGCTTTTTAAAAGCTTTTCTTTCTTTTTTTCTTTCTTTCTTATATTTGGGTTTTTTCTCTGCATGTTAAAATAGGAAGCCGAGTAACTTTGTGGATTGTTTTGACCCTCTTTCTAGGCATCTGTTTGTCACAGTGAAGTCATTTTTTCTTTACTACTTGGGAATCTTTTGTTTTGCAAAACAAAACAAAATTACAATTTAGCTGATGTGCAAATAGGACATTTTGGACATTATTTTGGATTAAAGAGAAAATTGCTTTTGATTGCCTGCTCAACAACTAGAGCAGTCTAATGTCTACGCCTCCTTGGTTTTGAACACGTGTTGTGAAGAAACTTTGTTTTCCTGTTGTATTTTATTGAGCATTGCTTTTAGTTAGCAGCAAGGCTCTCAGAATAGCGACTTAGGTTTTGTCATCTCAGCTATGATCTTTCACTTTTAGTGCTTCTTGTTGATTTAAACTCTTAGTGCTTGTCACCAAGGTATTTATTCCTTTAATGACAGGTTGCACTTTATTCTCGATCAAGGGATTTGAAAAGCCAATTACTGGTATTTCAGATTTATGTCTGCAGGGAGAATGTTGGTGTTGACCTGGAACAAAGCACATGGCCTCTTCTAAATAAGACTCAATTACTCTGGGGTATAATAAAGCTCTGGAAGCTCGTGGCATCACTTCCGGGTCATTTGCATATTCTTACGCTGTTGGTTGTTAGTGGTAAAATCCTGTGAAAATGGACAACCCCAGCATATACTGTAAGGGTTTCAGGATACTGCAACCTGATATTTCAGAATATTCTTACATTCCCATTCTATCTGGAAATTTTTCTTTGCTACATTTGCACTAGATGGGAAAAGCTGTTTCATCTGGGTGGGGTCCTTTTGTTTAACAGCTGAAATGGAAACTTTACCTTAGTGGTTAAAAAAATAGTTCTTGGATGTCTGTATCTGACTGACCTGTGGAATTTGTTTTAAATGCAGATTTCTGTACCTCACCCTGGAGAGATACTGATTTTGTAGCCCTGAGGGAAAACCTTGGAAATCTGGATTTTCTTTAAATGGCCTTATGCGTTCTGAAGCTTGTGAACTACAGCTTCCTCACCCACTTGATTAGTCCTGGTTTTTTAATTGTGACTTAGTAGCACTTGAAGCTCCTTTTTAAGTGAAGGATGCATCTGTGATGCAAATTATCGACCTTTCCTTTGTTATGGTGTCTATGTAACCACTATCCTGATTGAATCTTGGAAAGTGCTTTACTGGAGTTTTACAGGCATTTCCACCTTCTTTGTTGATTGCTACCTCTGGGTCTGAAAGTAGTTTTCAGCTAAAGTCAAATCAGCTTTAATGCCATTCCAAGGATTCATTCATAATCCTGCTACCTCGCTTATTAATATTTTACATTTCCTTGAGGTTATTAGTATTTTTGCATTAAGCAGTTCTGTTAATTCTGAACAACTGCAGTAATGAGGAAAGCATACGATTTTAACTGCCTAGTGTGAGCATCTTTCAGTGGGTGTCCACATGGGAAGATTTCAGTGTTTGTCAGAGAAGGCATTAATAGCTTTCTAATTATCTGAATAGCTCAGATTGTAGGGGATGTGTTAAGGTTTGGTCTAGAGTTTTCAGTATCTTTTATATGATATAACAGGAACTTTGTAGTTCAAATTGAGGTTTTTACATTGTAGATCTCAATACGGAAGTGAAATATTTAACTGTTGGCTTAACTCTAAAATGAGATTTCTTGGGACGCCTGGGTGGCTCACTCAGTTAAGTGTCTGACCTTGACTCAGGTCATGATCTCACAGTTTGTGAGTTGGAGCCCCGCATTGAGGCCTGCAAGGAGCCTGCTTGAGAGTGTCTTTCTCCCCTTCTCCCTCCCTCTCCCCCTCCCCCCGCCTTGTGCACACGCATACTCTCAAAAAAAAAAGTGAGATTTCTTTCATCATTTATCAAATTCAAGTATGCCTCCTGCTCAGTGGGGGTTTAATAATTCATGGAGGGAGTTGAACTAAATGTTCTTTTCTAAAATCTTCAGAATGTTAACAGATATTGTCATTGACACTGAAAGCTGTTTGAAAAAGAAAAACAATCCTGTCCACATGTTTACCTGTGAACTTTGACAACAAAAATTAGTCATTATAGCTCATGACATCTAATGTAAGCATTTTACTGGATAGTTTTCATTCAGTTACAAAGTGTTCGTTTTGTCAGAAATGCAGGCATTTCCTGTCTTACTGTACATAAGTGTTGGGCTTCTCCAAATTGGCAGCAGTCTATGTGTTGTGTATGTACATAACTGTTGTTTGCAGTTTCCCAAAACATATACAGAAGTAAATACTATAATAAATTGTGTGCCTATGCCCAATGCCACATTAATGCATTTATTATTGGCAGTATTATAGTCACTATATTCTCTGCCTTTTATTTTGAAGCAGTTCTCTCATTTAAGCTTTAAAGACATCATTATATATCTCTACAATGTAAGGACTTCAAGAGAACATAACCACTATACTGTTATCACACTGAAAATGTTAGGTATTTCTTTAATATTTGCTTCAGGGAAAATGTGCGTATGTATCATTAGAATTGATTTCTTCACAGGGGGAGACAGCTTAAGTTAGTAATAATAGTGCTTCATTGTTTTATGAAATATGTTTAATTTTCTCATTTCTTAGGTGTAAGCTGGGCATATTTTCTGTTTTCATTTATTCAACAAAAATATAGAATAGAACTGTAATAGTATAGATAGGGCACTTGGCCTGAGAGAACCATCAGTCTGGTGACAGATATAAAAGAGTAAATGTGCTTTTGTAACATGTGGTAAGTGCCACAATAGAACACATATAGCGTCTTGAAAAGCACACATCAGAGGGGCATCTAATAACCTAGACTGGGGTGGTTGGGAAAGGCATCTAAAAGTGGCTCTTAAATACTGGGAATTAGTCTCAGGGAGTGGGAGAGGAGACATGTTACTAGGAGCTGGAGAAGATCTTAGGCTTGAGAAATTGTGAATAGTGCTGGAGGCCTTGTTGCTTTTGTTGGAGAAGGGGATGTGGATAGATGGGCAGAAATCTGGTTTTGAATGATATTTGTAAGCCTTGTTAAAAGTTGGGACTGAATTACATTGGGGAACAAAGGCTTTAAGCAGTAGATGGAATATCAGATTGTTGCCAACATGATGAATTTTAAATGCCAGTATTTAGATGACCAGAAATAGAAATTGAATAAATTCATTCTCTTTAGAATTTGCTTATAAAATGGAACTTGTTATATCGTGGAACCAAAGATGTGTCCAAGGCTGTTAATAACTTACAATACCAAAGAAACTCTTTTAAGACATTCATAGGATTTTAGCTGGAGACCTATGTTTGTAGGTGTCTTTAAAGACATTTAAAGTTTATTTTTATTATTTTGAGAGGAAACACACACACAAATGAGGGAGGGTCAGAAAGAGAGGGAGAAAGAGAATCCTAAGCAGGCTCCATGCTGTCCTTGCTGGATCCCAAGAATGGTGAGATCATGACCTGAGGGGAAACCAAGAGACCGGCCACTTAACCAACTGAGCCACCCACACGCCCCTGTAAAGACATTTCCATGTGCTTTAATGATTGGAAGACTTTACTGTCTGTAAAATTATAACTAGATGGCCTGTTGGGGTGAGAAACAACTAGGGATTCAACTGACTTGGGGAAAGCAGTTTAACAAAAATAATGCAGATAGCATTGAAAATATTTGAT